TGTCTTGCCACATCTTAGGTTTGTGTTGGTTATAATATTGGGAGGAAATGTAAATGCAAACTTAACCTTAAACTCAAATAAAAAAACAGAGTGATTTGGAAATGAAAAGAAAAATCCAGACTTTTAAAGATCCATTCTTCTTGTTTTAATAGAAGGTGGAGCAAAATCTGATGACCCAGATAATTTCTGTAACTCTGGGACATTTGCAGTGTTTCATGTTAACAATTAAGCTACTTCACAGGATAATAAATTTTTCAAGAAAATTTTAGAAATTTAGAAAAATAGACACAATCCTAGATTACTACCTTTTGGTAGGGTCATTCTAGACCAATCCTCTACAAAATATATATTGGTTTCTATAATAGGTTGTTTGCCTAATGAATTTCTAAACTAGGTTATACTTACAAAAGTATTTAAATCAGATGTAGGGTTGCTGAAGGAAAAAGTGGTTAATGGTGGACTTTCATTCTTATATGAACATTGCAATGCTTGGTTTCAGAGAAACAAATGTTAAAGTGATTCTAAATTGAATGATAACATTTTTTTTTTTTTGGAGGAGCAGAAAAGCAAATTGGAAGTGGGGGAAATCACTGAGGAGTGAATAATGAAACAGATTGCAAGTTACAAGTTTTTCCAGTCATTCATTTTAGGAGATGTTAGATTGCAGCGTCACTGGTTATCATTTTAGGATCCTTAAAATATGGAGAAAGTCCTGGAGGACTGAGGACAGAAAAAAAATATATATAGCTCATTTATTTCTAAAAGGGACAAACGGAGACCTTAACAATCAAATATCAGTTTACTTAGCTCCGACCCTGAGGTGAAGATTTTAGATCAAATCCTCAAAAAAGCCGACCGATGGCACAGACATCTAGAGGCACACAGGAGAGGAACCGTGTGGCTTTATGAAACTCAGTATGTGTCAGACAATTTTAATTTCCTTCCATGACAGGACGACGGGACTGGTAGCTTGGAGGCAAGCAAGAGAGGCCATTAATCTATCTTTTTCTCGGGTTTTCGATTCTATAACACATGCGAGGCCCGGCAGCCTGCTAGGAAAGCCAGTCGAGCCAGCGTTTCTCAAGCAGGAAGCCCTGGAGAGTTCTCGAGAATCTTGAAGCACAAGAATACATTCTTGAATAGAAGATTATCTTTTTAAAAGTATTCTGCCGGTTAAAAAAGAAAGAAGAACTAACCTCTGTTTTGCTTTTTAAAAAACTGAAATCTGAAGATCTTCATATAGATTGGCTTCAGCTTCCTAAGCCAGTGTTTTTCAAAATGGTTTTGGTCCCCAGATGCATTCTAGAGGCTGCATTGCTGGGTCCCAGCAGGAACCAGATGGCAAATTAAACAGGGAACTGGGGAAAGTTACTGAAGGGACTGTTTACAAAAGGGTGGGCAGGATTTAGGGAACAACAAGGGGTGGCACAGCTGGGAGCAGCTGTCACCAGCCCTGATCCCGGGGAACTGGAGAGGGGAGCAATTACTTGTGCCTCGGGAGGACAGCAATATGGCAAGGGCCACCGACAGCAACTGTGCGCTCTGGTAGAGGACACAGGTGTCCTGCCATGACCCAGCCTGAGGAAAGTGTGCAAACCCATGAAATTGCATGCACATCTGGGGGTATATGCACAAATGTGTCTTCTCCTGCACAACAGGTCCATAGATTTTTATCAAGATTTCCCAAAATGAATCTCAAATGTCAAAAGCTGCATTTTCTAAAGAAGGAAATAAATTCAAACTGACTTTGTTATATTTCTGAAGTTGACAGTTTACATCCCTTATGAGGTATCCACAGGATACAAAGCATTAAGTACCATTCTTACGACTGGATAAACATAAGCCGGGAAAAGTTATTTAGTCTATTTTGGACCACAGATTGAATTTTACTAAGCAATTATTAAACTTCAGCTGCTGATTGTGCTGATGTTTGGCAGTGGAACGTGGAATAGAAAAGCTGGTTGTTGGCCGGGCGTGGTGGCTCACGCCTGTAATCCTAGCACTCTGGGAGGCCGAGGATGGAGGATGGCTTGAGTTCTGGAGTTTGAGACCAGCCTGAGCAAGAGTGAGACCCCATCTCTACTAAAAATAGAAAAATTAGCCAGATGTGCATCTATAGTCCCAGCTACTTAGGATGCTAGGGCAGGAAATATGAGGTTCCAGACAGCACCACAGCTGTGCCCTGATGGTACAGAGGACTTTCCTCCCCCAGGGTGAGCTGTCGTGGGAGGCACAGCCAGGGAGGGCCGTGCTGACAAGGCACTGGATACTGGCAAAGCCTGGGGTATTATAGTGAGGGTGTGTAAGGGAAATGCTATGGAAAGGATTCAGTCTTTGCTTGACAAGGGTGATTGAACACCTCGTATGTGGCAGGCACTGTTTTAGGTTCTTGGGAGTACAGCAGTAAATAAAACAGATACAATATTTGGCCTTAAAACCTTATAGTTTAAGCACTAAGCATTAAATGATGACCCAAATCAGACATAATTGCAAGCTGTGATGAGTACTTTGAAGAGCCAGTGGGGGGCGCTGTGGGAAGCTATGGGCAGGGCTGGAAAGAATCTGGGTCCTACAAACAGAATGAGTGAGATGTGTGACGTTTGGGGGATGGTCACGCTTGAAGCTCTGACTCAAGGGGGGAAGGGGGGCATACGTAACTTTAACATTTGTACCCCCATAATATGCTGAAATAATAATAATAAAGCGGATGTCTCACCCCCTCACACTCATTCATTCTCCTACTCACCTGTTTGTCTCTCCTTCCCTCTTCTTAATTGAATTTGTAATGAATATTTAATTCAAAAGGTAAAAAAAATGTACAACTATAAATAAAAGTTAATGAAAATTAAAAAAAAATAAGGATCAAGAAGGCTTTGGAGAGGAAGGGAGCTTCGAGTTGAGATTGAAACCATGGCCATGAGTTAAGTGGGGGCCCTTCAAGGAGAGTGGACAGCAAAGGGCCCTGAAGTGGGAAGGGACACTGGTGTTGAGTCCCCATGATCCCATATGACATCCCTGTATACAGGAAGATCCCCTCTCAGTGGATGGTGCACACAGCCAGTTGACCAGAGTGGGTCTCAGTCCCACCGTCCCCTCAGCCGGGCACTCTCATTGGATGGATCTGCAGGCAGCCCTTTAGAAAGGATGGCGCCTTTGTAAATCTGTGCCTCAGTAGGACTGAGGAACCCAGGGCAGTGTGTGTACCCAGAGGCAGAGACAAGGGGAAGAAGGAGGGCAAGGTGAGCTGGACTCCCCACTGGGCCCGTAGTGAACGCAAGGGTGCCCAGGCTCTGCTGAGGGCTGAGGTCTTCCTTCTGAGACCAGTGTGAGGGCTTGGGAGCAGGAGAATAGCCCAATCGAGCTTCAAGACTGGCGGCAAAGCCATCAGGGCCAGGCTACCTCTGTGATCTGAAGAAGAGATGATGGTGGCCCGGGCCAGGAGGGGTGCAGAGGGGATGGGGAGATACTGAGGGGAATCAGCTAATAGAACTCAGTGGTTGATGGGATGTGGGTGTGAAGGAGAAAGAGTCATCCCAGGGCTGACACCATTTACTGAGACAGGAAATACTAGTGAGGAAAGCACATACACAGATGCACACATGCAGGGCCATGCACATGAGCACATTCTTCGCAGGAGTTGAGAGGAGGATCAGCTGGGATGGTTTCATTCTTCTCTCCCTCTCTCCTCTCTCTCATGGCCTCCCCGCCTCCTGGTAAAAAGGAGAGTAAAGAAGATTTTCCAGGAGCACACAGATCCAAGTTCAAACAAGGCTCATAGGAACACTCTGAAGTGGTTTCCACTTGGTCTAAAAAAAATATGAAACAAAGTAAAAATCCCCCCAGAAAATGACTGTGATGCTATTCTACTTTACTTTTATTACCTGTAATCTTTTTATTGATGGTCAATTATTGGGAGACCTTAAAAATTGCACTCCAAGTATCCCTATTGGCAAAAGCAGTTCGCAAACCAATGCACCTCTCAGGGGATTGTTTTTTGGTGACAACAAAAACCTGGTTAAGAGAGAGAACCATTCCACACACGGGAGCCAGCCAATTCAGGCTCAACCAGCCCAGGACTTGTTGACTGCCAACAGGGAAACCCATCCCATGCCTCCATTCCGCCACATGTGACAGTAGTTCCAGGATCTAAATAATCTGTATCATGTTGAAGTGAAATGTTCTTTGAGCCATAGCCCCATATAAATATATGTGCACAACATTACATACTATACAAGTTTGTAAGCCATAATCCACCCATCCCTCGTCCATTCTTTCCAACTCCCAAGTATGTCAAACTGATAACCTCCAAGATGGGATCAACTCACAGAGAGGATGGTTCAGGCAGTGAGTGTCCCGTGCCTCCCAGGGGTGCAAATGAGTGGGGGCGCAGGCGGTCTGGACAAGACCTGCCTCAAAGTCACACAAAAGGATGACTGCAACATCTTAAACTCAACTCTAAATCTCATTGTTACTAATTCTTCAGCCCATTTGATTAACATTGAAATGAAATAAAAAAAACATAGTGCCATCAAAACACATTTCCTTAAAAGAAAAAAAAAATTGCTAGAAGGCAATTTGGTCACTTGTGACTTCTGAAGAAAAATGAAGATCTTTCTTTGAATTACTGAAGGTTTTCATTTGAAAAATAACGTGTAATCCAGAGTTGTTATATTCCGTGAGAAAATAACAAACATAGCCATATGGAGACCTCCAATCCTATTCTGCGGTGTGCGGACATTGTTCAGGGGTAAAAATGTCTGGTCCTATTTCCCTAAGGACAACCTTCCCATATAGACCTACATTACACTGACACTTTTTTTCTGTAAATATTTTGAATGTACATAATCAATTTTTGTCACTTGTCCAATACCTAGAAGTGCCTGACAACTTTCTAACATGAATTTCTGGATTGGTTTCAGAAACAGAATGGCAACTATGTCTACAAATGGCTGATCTGTTTTGATGTGAGCTTAATTAATGCTGCATATGAAACTCCAAATGTCACAATCCAGGAGTTTTAAAATTTTAATTATTAGACTGATTTAGTTAACTTATTCTAAAATGAAATTTGAATTTAATTTAATGTGTATATTAAATTCTTTTGCAATAAATTTCTTTTTTAAGAGGAAAGGATTTCATAAAATCTCTCCATTATGAGTTTAAAATGCGAATGAGAACTATATGAAGATGCCACAAATGATATGACTTTCACATTACAACTTGAGCTACAAATTTTTGAGGGAGAGTTCGGAGGCTCAGTTATGATATCTGGTCATGAAGTCCAAGCCACTGTTTGATGAAATTGGAGATTAGGAACTGAAGCCATTGCTGGTAGTGTGACAGAACATCATGGGGCAAGTTGATCTGGTCACAGTCAAGTCTGTCAAGAAGTGTCACACAGACCACAGCAGCTAGAAGAACAAGAAACATGACTGGTGAAATGAATGGCTCTATCTTTTCTGTGGAAACAGCCGAACCTGCCAACATCCTTAGCACATGTTGCACTTTGTGATGTTTTCCCTGTAATGTAGATGCAACCTGACAAGCCCTCTAGTCTTCTATATAATTCATGTTTTAGTGGAATCCCACCAATTCCTTCATTTAAATAAGTTAATTGAAATTATCATGAATAGTCATCCTTCTTCTTTCCTGCATAATTAGCTAGATTAGAGATCAGGAAAACATCATGTGCAAGATATGAGCAAGGAGAGACCTTTGCCATCCAAGATGCACAATCTCCAGCTTTGTATCCTGTTTCCAGTTCTTAGAGAAGGCTCTTCTTACTTGAGGATATAACTGAAGGATATAACTGAATAGCCATTATTCCTTAGGTAACGTTTTACTCCTTGGTGCAATGTTTGAGTTTGCTTGCAACAGCCCTTGCTAAAGAGTAAAGTAAATAGAGACAGGATATGGAACGCTGACCTCAGGAAATACCAATAAAGGTGAGTACTGACCCTTGTGAAATTTGAGAAGAAAAAATATGAAACGAAATGCTTAAACATGAGAATCGACTCAGTGTAAGAGCAAATATATTAGCATTTAATTTCTAAAGAATATGAATTCGTCATCAAATTGGCACTGACTGATCAACAGTATGGTGCTCAAATGGTAGTAATATTCTCCAGGGGTTAGGGGGTTGGGCGGGTAAACTCACAACTAATGGACACGGTGAGCATTGTGGAGGGGAAGGGAATGCCTCTAATCCTCACTCGGGTGAGGCAAAGACATAAAATGTAACCAAAATGTTTGTATCCTCATAATATCCTGAAATAAAAATTAAAAAGAAAGAATATGAATAAGCTCTTATGATATGTAGGAAATCAGGAGAAAAAGAACAAAAATATTTTTTAAAAAATGAAACTCTCATTTTTGAAAAGTCACCATGAGGGCAATGTCTTTGGTACCATCAGAAAGAGCCAAAGAGAAAAACTGAGTTCCATATGAATTCTTTATTGTCAGTTTCACACCAAATCTTTGATTTCAAGGAATTTGGTTACCCACATTTAAATCAGTGCCAACCACTTTGAATCATTAAGAGTTTAATAATCTCCATCGGCATCTGCATCATTTTAAAAATGATTTCAATGCATATGGGATTAGATGTGTCTACATTAACAAGCTTTGAGAGCATAGAGATAGAGTTGGGTTTGAATGTAATATTTATTTCTTTGACCTCTCTACTACTTCGGACTTCTTTGTAAGATCTAGATTTGGAAAGAGAAATGTACTGTAATTATAATAGCATGTTCAATCTCTTTATTTTTATTTGACAAATAAAAATTGTATATAATTATGGAGTACAATGTAGTGTTTTGACATATGTATACATTGTGAAATGATTAAATCAAGCTAATTAACATATCCATCATTTCATATATTTGTCACTTTTTGTGGTGAGAACAATTAAAATCTACTCTTTTAGAGATTTTGAAATACACGTTATTATTAACTACAGTCCCTATGTTGTGCATTGGATCTCTAAAACTTATTCCTCCATGTAACTGAAACTTTGTACCCCATTCCCCATCCTGCTCCCCAATCCCCTGGTAACTGCCATTCTACTCTGTACTTCCATGAGTTTGGCTTTTTCAGATTCCACATATAAGTGAGATTATGCTGTATTCAGCAGAATACAGCTGAATACAGCTGGCTATATCTGTGCTTGGCTTATTTCACTTAACATAATATCCTACAAGTTTATCCATGTTGTTGCAAATGACAATATTTCCTTCTTTTTAATAACTGAATAGTATTCTGTTGGGTATATATACCACATTTTAAAAAATCCATTATCTGTTGATTCCATATCTTGGCTATTGTGAATAATGCTACAATGAACATGAGAGTGCAAGATATCTTTTCCACATACTGATTTCAGTTCCTTTGGATATATACTCAGAAAAGGGATTGCTAAATCACATGATAACTCTATCTTTGGTTTTTGAGGAATCTCTGGATTGTTTTCCATAATGGATGTACTAATTTACTTTCCCACCAAAACTGTACAAGTGTTCCTTTTTCTCCACACCCTCAACAACCCCTGTTATCTTTTGTCTTTTTTGATAGCCATGTTAATAGGTGTGAAGTGATATCTCATTGTGTTTTAATTTGCATTTCCCCAATGATTGTAATGTGGAGCAAATTTTCACATATCTGTTGGCATTTGTATGTCTTCTTTTGAAAAAATGTCTATTCAGGCCCATTTTTTAATTGGGCTTTTGTTTTTGCTATTGAGTTGTTTGAGCTCCTTATATATTTTAGATATTAACCTTTTATCAGATATATGGTTTGCAAATGTATTCGCCATGTAGTTCTCCAAATGTTTCTCCAGTGTATCTTTTTTATTTGGTTTAATAATTGTTACATGCCGAACACTTATGATATCCTTTAGTGTTTACAGCTGTGCCATGTACAAGGGATTATTTTTGTCCCCTTTGACAGATGATGAAATGAGGGCTTAGAGAGGTCAACCAAGTAGTCCAGTATGACACAGCTGGTTGATAGCCAATGAATCCCCAGCTTCCGAAACTACTGAGGAGAGTTGTCTACCCTCCAGCCACTCCTCCCCTGAGCTGGCACATGGTGAGCCATTAGGCAAACCTGCCTTGACCTATCAGTCAAAGTGACCCTCTTGTTCAGTGAAGTGAAAAGCAGTGAAAATATTCAACTTGGCCTGAGTCAAATATTTCATCACCTAGGGCCCTATTTATTCAAAACTCACTTAGTTGTAAAGCAGCTTGGCTGAACAGGTAAACAAGCAAATGGAAGAGCTAGAAACTTCCCCCAGCTTTTCAAGTTAATGATCGGCAAGTCTGTGAAGCCTGACATGGGCTGGCAGTAGCAGGGAAAAGTTGAAAGTCCTTCTCTAATCCTTCACTTGGCACGAGGATAAAAGGAAACCAGCGTTCTGTACTTTTCACGGAGTGGGAGCCAACTTTACTAAACGTCTTTTCTTGATTTCAAGGGGAATGCCAAAGATGGAAAAGAACAGGTCGTAGCCATCTCAGTGGTGTTTTCTTGACCCTGGAGAATCTACTAACAAGCAGCATATAATAATCTTGTCACCTAAAATTACTATTTCCATGAGCAATTAAAAGGGACTAATTACCCAAAACAATTTACTGAAATTAAGCCTGACAGCTTTGCTACCATAATCCTCAGATTAGGCAGGGAGGGTGGCTCCTGGGGAGAAAGGGACACTTGGTGACCTAGCTGTCACCAAGGAGGTTGTCAGCTAGCTGACCTGAGGCTGGAATGTTGTGGGGACACACAGATCTGAACATGGAGCTTGATGTACCCTGAGCTGCACCAGGAACGCCCAGCAAGTCTCAACCCTTTGGGATCACTTATGGCCCCTTTGAGAATCTGTTGGAAGTCATAATTGAAACCTCTTTTCACACAAAACAATACACACATCCCTACATGCACAAAACATTCAGGTATAATTTCAGGGGGCCCAGGGGCCCCCCAGACCCACTCGTGATTCCTTAGGAATCCATGGACCCTTATGCACTGCTACTTTAACCCCACCTCTCTGACTCAGAAGGAACTTCCACAAAGGCTTTCCTATGAACAGCGGGCAAAGATAGCAGGGCTGGGCACAAATGCCGAAGTGCATAGCAGAAGCCAGACAGGGCTGGCTTGGGGAAACAACAACGCAGCCAAGGTTAGCTGCGCAGTTCCCAGTCTGGTCTTCCTGTCTGCTCCTCTTCCACCTCCTCCTGCTCCTCTCATACACTCCTGGCCCCTCAAGGGTTTGAGTTTATTAAGCAAACATCACCTTTATGCCCTGCATGCCTGGTATATAAAGCATGGGAATCGTTTTTAATCAACAACCCAGAGTCTTTGCACTTCCTGTACCTCTGCTGAGACCTTTGTCTCAGCCTGCCGGCTCCTTATTAAAAACCAAGTGTGGAGAAATCTATTAATATATTCAAAGGGGCTGGCCAAGGCTAAGGGACATACAAACTATTTGTTCTTCTAGATTGGTGTTTCTCAAAATGTACTCCATGGGCCACCTGCATCAGAATCAGAGATGGTGAATAATTCAGATTCTTAGGCTCTGCCCTTGACATACAGAATTAGAATTGGGGGTAGGAGTTTGGAGAGGGTAGTGAATCTGGATTTAAAAAATCTTCCCAGTTAAATAATTGCACTGTAATATTTGAAAACTACTGCTTTAAAGACTTTAACTCTGAATCGAATCAAGTTACCACAAAGGTACATACCTAGGCCCTACCTCTTTAGGTGCCCAAGGAAATGCTGAATTAGACAGAAACAATTCATTATACCTATGAAGAATTGTCCTGTATCTTTTATAAAGGTGTTATTAAAGACAATGCCCATTATAATATAGCTGATAATTTCACCTAGGTTTAACATCTGGATAAAGTTTTTGTGATAAACCTCAAATGCTTTCCATTATTAGATAATGAGAGCTTCATAAGTCCAAGTGTTTTCATTTTCAGCTTGGCCTCCCGACATCTGATTATACAGGTGTTTAGTGTTGCACTCCTGGGCCATCCTTCCTATGCACACCCTTGAATAAATGCCCCTTATTCTCTATACCTTTGTTTAAAGGGTATTATTATGCCTTCCTCTTGCATTGAAAGCTGCCACTGATGCGTTTTCAAATAGAGGAGAGTACAAGTCATCTTTCCGTGGACAAATATGTTACTTTTTCCACCTTATGGAATAGTGGAGAAAATGATGGTCAGGAGACAGGAGACCTCAGTTCTAGTCTATCTCTGTTTCTGTCTAGCTGCATTTCCTCGGGCAAGTTAATTACACTCTCTAGAGTTCATTTCATTCTCTGAGAATGGAGCAGGTTAGAGCTCAGAAGTTTCTCCCAAGTCCACATCCTCAGCATAGGTGCCTCATACCATCTTGTCAGTTCAAGGACCTGCTG